CATGGCCCAGAGACTCGAAGACCTTAAACCTTACCTGCCTCACCCAAACGCTAAGTCGCATGAGCTCATTTCTCTCGTCCTGCAAACAAAAACCAAAACACGCTAAATAAATCGTATGTTTATCAGTTGAGAGGTAAGATCTTTGAAAAAATTAAGCCGTGCAGGGTACCTGGAAGTGTTAGGCTTATAATAACTTTCTACTCATGATTTTTCAGTTTTTGCTCAACTATATTAATATCGTTATAACTCGCAACAAAAAACAACAGATAGGAAGGAGACAAGCTTTGGTCTGTTTCCACTAACTCTCAGTGCTGACCTGAGATAGGGAAAATTATCAATGACATTGAAATAAGATTGTTATTTTATCACAAAAGCCTGGTCAAAAAGGGATACAATGTATCTCATACACCACGTACTCACAATGTCAATGAGTTGATGCACAGATATACCCAGTATCACTGTAACATTGTCTTCCTTTCTCAGCGCCGGCCGTAGCCGCTTGTCGTATCCATCGAACAAGTCTCGGAATAGGGTCAGCTCCTCACGGTCGGGAGACATGTGGGTTATTCCACTCGTGGAAGAATGGCGCTGAGACGAAGGCGCGGTGAAAGGAATTTGTGGGACCCCTGTGTAACCATTTCACAATTTTGAATTAGTAGTTGAATGATATATTTCCACGTCATTGTTCTCATTTTTTATGCTGAGCCTGTCGTATGATGACGTCGTTCCGCGTTTTTCAGACCCTATCCTTAGCAGTTGTCTTGAAAGAATTGTTCTGAGAGACAATGCTTCAAGAGCTCATTCAATGTCACATTTTGCACTGTTCTTGAGGATGTCCATATATAGAAAAATATGCTTCAGTTATAGTTCGAAATCCGAAGTTTTATTCCAGCTAGTGCGACAAAACAGACATCGCAAGTCCGGATTGTTTAGTTTTATAACCCGAAGACGATGTGTAAGTTTTGGAAACAATAATTCTTTGTCATCATTCATCGGCAAATTAATTAAAGGTAAATTAACTGCCCAGGGGCAGTCTGACTCGTCAGTTTATTTAAAAGCGTTGAGTGTTGTCTAGTAACTTGTTATAATAGAATAATTGTATTGAGTTTCACCTCATCGATATGGAAACGGCGAAGAAAAAAATTCAATGAAGTTACCTTTTATATATATCACCAAAGGATGTAATTTGTTTGTAAGAGTGGAGAAAAAACCAAGTAGGACATAGTCACACACCAGATCAACGGTATCTCAGTGTACTTTGCTATTGTTTTAAGTGTATTGTGTAATTTAAGTATTGATATCCCTTTAGACTATGCAGAGTATTTAAAAAAAAATTGAATGAAGATAATAAAAGTATCCCAAGTAATGGTTTGTGAGTTATGTCAGTTTTGCAATTAGGTTTACCGTTAGTATTATAAGCAAAGTATCCTATAACTGCTACGAGGAACATAATTTCGAAAAAAATTGGAAAAAATTAGCTTGCCGCTGCCAAACAAGAAGCTGTCGATCTGTGGCCTTTGCCGCTCACTTTATCTACAAACTTTCTCTATCATCAAACAGTTTTTGCTTCCTCACTGACTAAGATGTTAAAACAGAGCCATCAGGGAGAGTTATAAGGATTGATTCATGTTCTTTAACTTGATGTCACATTTTGCAGTGTTCTTGAGGACAGTCCATATATAGAAAAATATGAGAAGTGAACAATCTAAAACTCTCTTTCGAAAATTTCAGAACACATAGTTATCTTGTATAGTTAACTTACAAGCCGGTAAATGACAAGATGCTTAATACCGTCCATATCTTTAGAACTATAGAAGTTTTGATTAAGGAGAACCATAAGCTTCCTCTCAAGATATAAATCAATCCAGAAATTTCCTGAGTCCACTGATTATGGGCTGGAGTAACCAATCACTAACTGTCTTGGCCTGGGAAAAAATCCCCTCTCAGGTGAAGTAATCCAGAGTACCCAGACATAAACACTCTCTCCCCTCCCCTCCCCCAACCCTCTCAGTGTCCTATTCAAATCGTATTTAATCACACTGGTAGGTTTCACGACAGGAGAACATTTTAAAAGTGGCGTAACTTCCTCTAAAGGAACCTGACTGTTTATTTTAAAGAGGAAAAAAAAGTATTTGATAGTTTGGTTCGATTTCATCAAGTAGAGACCACATCGATTGCATTTGTGTTTAATTGTAGATTCCTTAACTTTGACAGAGAAAGTCCCAATTGGTGACATAGGGAAAAACAATGTGTTGTTGTACCAACATGACTACAACACTCTATCATCTTAAAGCTCACACAATACTCTGTTTGACTGCCTTAATCACTGTCATTTTTTGGATAAAATTGTACTAAAATATAAATGCGTCTTCGCCTTGGAATGTATTAAATGTGTCGGTTGAAAGCTTAATGAAGGTAGCCTACCCGTCAACTTATGTTAGGTCAAATTGTTATCCGCGAGAGGGTGATTTTGTGCGTGTGTTCATGTTTAGCTAAATTTTTGGAGTTATGAGTGGCTTTTATGAATAAGCTTCCTAAGAAATGTTTTATTTTTGCACCTCAATCCATTTATGAGCCAGTCCTTTGCTGAAGATAACTTAAGTTCCGTTTATTAATCCAAACGGCATTTCCTCTTGACCAACACGCACACCAAATATCGCCATAATAATTCACCGTTATCCACTTCACGATTGTCCCACATCAGTTTTATTTGCTTAATCCGAACAAAGTCACATCTGGACGACATAATCACCAAAAAACCGTAACTTTGTCGGCCGTGAAATAATAATTCATATTTCTCTCTTAACTGACAAGTGATATAGGAGCTCTCCTGATACGTTTCAGTCTCCGGCCCAAATTCCGATGTTTAGGATAATGATGTCTTCTACAAGCGTGGTTGTTAAAAGTGATTTTATGCATGACAATCCACAGCAATTGATCGAGTCAAATACAGGAGCTCACTGAGTCGGGCAATGTCAGTCCTTTTGTTCATAACTGTTGCAGCGCAAGTTTTTCTAATGAGTTATGACATCAAATATTTCACTGTAAAAAGAGAGTTTTCTCTTGAAAGCTTAAAAGCGAAGTCAGGATCAATTCCTTATAAGATCTACGACGTTTTCCCTAATAAAAGCTCCTCTGTTAAGCTACAATTTTCTGTTTTCGTGATACAAGTATAGAAATAAGTGACAACTCCCAAACTTTGCGAAACACTCACCCAAACAAAGTCAAACACATTTTACTTTTAAGAATGCTTAGCAATTTGCAGTTTCTAGAAGATTTATCCAAACGATGGCTTAGTTTGACGTGAAACGTTTGAAACATTAGCTATTGTGATATAATAATATTGAAAAGTACATGTTTACATACCTGTATTGTTTGCGCCCAAAACGGTTTTTAACACGGAAAAACACAATGCCACTGCCACAGCAAAACTCATCTTAATCTCAGGTTGTTGTCGCACGAAAATCTTTCACTTTAACAGTTTTACTCCGCCACAAAGCTGCTTCTCATCACAGTGAAGAGGGTTAAAATTCGTCGACAGAGCGATCCTGGAACTAGATAACATTATGTCAAAGTTTATCACTTTGTTGACTTTGTTATGCGGGCGGAAACCACATGAAGCATGTTTTGTTATAGTTCTACATACTGTGCCTTTCAGAAGACAATACTTAACTGTTTAAAATCAATCACCGATTTATTTATATTTAAACATCTGACAAAACACATCAAAGCTACAGAAGAAATTGTGCACGTAGAATCGAAGCTAATACTTCTTTTTTTATGCGGATCATAGACACACCGGTCGAGAGGTTGTTGAAGAAACAATGAAAAAATTCTTGGACTTCAGTTGGCGGTGTTATCTGAACATCTCTAAAGAACAAGAGAAGGGTTAGTAACTGATATGGAAGATACATTGATCTCTTAAATGTGAAAAAACTTTGGAACAATGTCGGATCGGATGTAAAGAAAAGACACTGTTTTTAATAAAAATAAACCTGCGTAATATCGCCTACAAGACGATGATCCACAGTAGGCCTTATCAGTAAATGCTTGGTTGACAACCGAGAACAAGTCAACTAAGATCAAACAAACCCAAAGAGTTCGTGAATTTGCCAAAATGCCCTACTGTATGATCAATTACCGCCAAATTTCATTGCTGAAAGGTTGCTAACCACAAGTGCTCTGTTTGACCCGGTCGGTGAACCGAGGAACTACATATTTATTGGCTTAGAAAGATTTCGCCCACCCTTGGTGCATCTTTAAAACGAAGGCTTTTTTTTTCAATTCAGTCGTTTGTAACTTATTATCGTGATCCCAAGCCACCCTGATATCGTTTTGGTTTATCGTCACCTTTCTAGGATCTTTCTTCCCAAACAAACGTTTTTTCCAATAGTTCTCTTCTATTTATAGACACGGTTTAAGCATTGCAAAGAGGGGCGATTCCTTTAATTCTGAGTAAATCTGGAAAAAGTTGTCGTTACCATGAGCTAACTGGTGGGTGTAAATCGTGAAAATTTCTACTCATAACAATTACTATATCAAAGTATGTGAGACGGTTGCATTATTTTTGCATTCAGGCGCCTCACCGCTTTGTCGCGTATCTATTTCGGGGCCCTTTGTTGATGATAATGAAGAGTGCACTTCACCTGTTTACACCCACATCATTAATTTTCATGTTTATGAAACTCGACCATGCTTGTTTGACAAAATTAATTTAGTTATAAGTCTATTCTTAAAAATGGTTTTTGTCAGCAGAAGGCAACTTTCAAAACTGCTCTACAATATATTTTGATTAATGAAACTTGATCCCGAACGAGCCTCGTGCGACACGATAGACGACAGGCCTTGTAAATTTGGAACAACAACCTTTCTCTTGGCTTTTAATCTGTTCGTGATACACTTGCAGGGAGTTGAGTCTACGCGATTATCACGGATACCCAGTTTCCCCCAGTGTTTTGGGTGTCCGAAGGACCAGTTGAAAGAGTGGACTATTAGCTCTTTAAAAACAAAATAAATGAAAAAAACTTCATTCTTTTTTTTTTTTTTTTATAATTCAATTAGGTTTAATTTCTCAGATCAATCTTGTCTGTTGTGAATCAGAAAATGGTTCAGAGATAGGATCGCCGCAACCCACAGTGTTATTATTGATGTGATAAATTTGTCTTCAAATACAAATAGACGGGTGATAGTTTTAAAATGCGAGCTGATAAATCTCTTTCTATACATAACTGAACCGCTCGGCTTACCAGAATCAAACGCATTTAAACGCTGTCAAGGGATGAAATAAAGAATTAGCTAGGATGTCGGGTATATTTTCTACGATACCCTTTAGTTAATTAATGCATTTGACCTTAATCGGTCTTCGGTAAGCAATCCAATGGCACTCATATCCTCTGGCCCAGCCATCTGTTTTCACGCTATCTTACCACATATTTAGGGGCGACAGAACCGGTCAAACGTAGTTTGTATGGCGGTTTTTATAGTTTGTGCTTGTTAAAAAGATGTTGTTAATGGTTCTGGAAATATTTACATTCAGAAAATACAGGGACTTTTATACGCGCGGTAAATTTATCATTTCAGTGAAACTTATGTTGAGGTAAGGAAAAAATGGAATTCCAAATTCCATTTTATTTTATCTCAGCAATATGCCCGACAATATATAATTAGCTGTTCATTTTACCAATTGTTTCACCATGCAACGAACGGAATATATAGAGAAGATAATCAAAGGACTGAAAAGATACAGATAATAGTCTGGATGGACTCATTTAACAATAGGGGAGGTTAAAATTTATAAACAACATTTTCTTTCTGGCCAAGGTCAGATATTTTATTCTACGCACGCCTTCCAGAATTAGAAGAAGGTCACGAATTTGTGTTTCGGGAAATGTTCCAGTCTCAATTTAGTTCTCCCCTGAGTGAATTGTTCACATATGAGGATTGATGAAGTCCTTCAATTAACGAGGCAATTCTGCCAAAAAAGAATGCAATTTACACCTCTCTTCTCAACTTCTTACTAACAGGGCCTTACCAGGGAATATTGGCCCGAGGTCGTGGCAGGGGGGGTTTACGGACCGAGGGCAGCAAAAGACAAAAACGACCGAGGACCAATAATTTCCAGTACAGCTCGGGCAAACAAAATTAGTAATTAGTTTTTTATTATAATTGCACGGCACTCAGACCAGACTTGTCTAGGCAAAGATAAAGGCCCATGACCGTTTCCGCGGAGACGGTCTGTATTGCAAAATACGGGCTAAGTAAGAACCAATCAGAACACAAGTATTTATCTCACGACTACATCGAAATAAAGTAATTATCTTCAGTGTGGAACAAGAGTGGTAGTTGTATTAAGGCATAACCGTTCGGAAAATTAATTGTAGGTGACACGAAAACATAAGCTTCTCCTGAGTCAAGAGTCTGACAGCGTTCAAATTAGAAGCTCATCTTTACCGAAGGTAACTGATACATGATGCGTCCGATTTTTAAAATTATTTTATTAATACACTATTTTAATCATGTCTTTCACCAAGCTTTTTTCCTCCCTAACGTACTACGTACGTAACGTGAATTTTATCAAGATGGCTGTTGAGACGATTCGCCTTCCACTTTAGTTCGACGAGTGTTTTACAATGTAAGCAAGAGTTTTCCTCGTGGGTTTGGAAGTGATTCAAAACGCTCATTTACATTTTTATTTAAACTTTGCTTTGACGCCTCTATCGGCCCCAATTAAAAACGTTAAGATAGTTACCCGCGCTAAAAGTTAGAGTCAGAAAACCTGCTTGTTTCCAATTATCATAAATGTAAATTAGGCTTTTGAAATTGGAGTGAGCCACATTGTTAAAGATATTAAGTTGTAATCTCTCTCTAAAGCGGTACAAAATAGAAGATTTAACCGCGATCGGCCAATAATTGTTTAACTGGTGAGTCAGTATAACATTAGTAGAGGATTGGTGAATTCCACGATATATATTTAGCTCTGTCATCCCCTGAGAAAAAATTGGAATTGCTGTAACCAACACAGTGCCTTTACTCGAGGACAAGACTTTTCCAAACGTAATTTTTAGGGCTGGAATGATAAATTTGCTTAATGGAATCGCACAAAATTGGCATGTGTAACTTTTCGTTTAAAAAAAATGTGTGAAATAATGAATATACCGGCTTAGTCTAAACAGATAACATCACAAACGTCTGTTAGGCATAATTTTCACTAAGACTTCCAAAGCAAATGAAGACGGAAAAAGTTTTGATCTGCTTCCCAGGCGTTGAAATTACCGGAAGAAAACACTTCTATTTTTATAGCGAGCGAGTGGAGTTTTTTAACTTGAAGCATCATCAGATACATCAGAGCTTCACCTGAAATGCATTAAGGCGGTTCTTTATTTCGGTTTATCAATATTCCTTAATTTTCTTATTAATTTTTTTTTCGCGTATTATTTCATTTTGAAAGAGACATCGTATTAGGGGAAATAAAAATATTTTTCAATTCCTTGATAACAGGATGATGTATGCATAATAAGCTCTGTTGGTAGGGAAGTAATTTAATCACAACAGCTCTTGTTTTTTTCGTTTTATTTATTTTTGGGGGGTAATTGTTCATTCCATCGTGCAGTGAATGTCGACAAGAGCCAAAGAATTACGATGATAGACTTTTTGTATGAAAAAAAATTCAAGTGTGACTTGCCGCGCCAAAAACATCCTCTACAAAGGCCCATCAAATGCTCTCCCGGTCACAAATCCTTTGGAGAAGCGGACCAATCATTTGCTAATTACACTATACCGCATCCTCTTTAACTCTGTAATTCAACATTTTAAGATGTTATTAACCGGCTTGAGACATGATTTTGAATTATTTGTTCAAAAAGGAACTAAATGCCTTCAGGGGACCCTAATATAACTGGGTTTGAACACGTGTAAAAGCAACTGCATGTCTATCTATCACCATATTGACGACTTTTCACGGGAGGTTTTTATCATTTACTCTAGTTTCAGTTTCTAAGAAGGAGAAGGATTGAAGACAATTGCCAGAATTCTCTATCGTCCGTAGCTACGTACTGATTTTGAGACTGGAGTTTGGGTTTCTGCTGCGTGTGCTAAGATGTGGCTTTTCATCAGAGATTTCACCTTTCCAAAAATAATTTTTCTTGCCATTTATTTTCTGTCAGGATGTTCAACAAAACAAGGTAGGTTAATCAAAGAGAATGTGTTTTGAAAATCTGCAATGAAACAGGCAGGCACGTCCGCATTTTCGAACCAAATACGAATGGTAACCGCATATGTAAAACTGATTGAATTACCTGCGGTGAAAATGAAAAGCGTTCTCATTGTGTTTCACTACCACTGTAAACTTCAAATTTGGGTTTTAAGTCCCACACTTATAAAAATTGCAGAGAAGAAGCACTTGATTCCTGAAAAAAAATAAATTTAGAAAAAAAAACTAACAACGATATGCGTCTTTAAGGACCTGCTTTACGCTGAACTTTTTTTTTCGAAGAG